TGACCCTAGCTTTTGTCTGAAGCCTTTTTTAGAGGCGGCCTGCAAGGCAGGACGATCCTGCACAGGTGACTGGCAAGGTAACATATGAATATCTACTTTGCCAGGAACGATACCTAGAACGATACCCTGGAACGATACCATTCCCTTCAGGACTTGTTTATGCAGAACTTAACTTACAGACAGGCGCGGGCACGGGCAGCCCTTTTGAAGCCATGTCATGGCAAGTGGAGAAGCGGGTGAGGAAGTCCGGACTTCACATGGGGGACAGCTACAGAGCCTTATTATTGATTATTGATAGAGCATATGCTTGCTTCAATTTCCAACAGCTTCTCTCTATGCGTCATTGTTATTGTGTATGTTTGCACTTTCCCAGCTCAGCTCGCACCTCGGGTCGGGTCGATGAGCGTGGAGGAATCCATGTGCCTTGACGACCGCAGTCGAGGAACAGAGCAGTGGTGGAAGTGCGGAGGCGGAGGCAGATGCCACGTTCATTAGCGAAAATTCTCATGTTTTGCTCATCAAGCCTGAGTGGCTCAATCTAATATTAGACAAGCAGAAGACTATCGAGATCAGATCTTCGTCGATCTTCGTTCTGGAGGCCAGGTCTTGGGCGCTTGTCGGCTTGCGTCCACAAGGCGACTCTCCCGAGAGGACTTGCAGACACTGCGCGATCAGACTCAATGTGACCCATCTCTGATTACCTACGACAAGCCACATGGTTGGTTCTTGACAAGTGCTCACCGGCTTCAGTCACCGTACCCGCTTCCTAGACAACAGGGCCAGGTTATTTGGGTGACCCTAGAGCAAGAGAAGAAGACAGAAGCGAGCTTGGCGGCCAGCTCTTCTCACCCTGCAGGGCCAGGAAGTTCCACGGGCGAAGATCTTCGTAAGCACTCCATAGACTCAGAGACCTTTTGAGGGGCTCATTCTTTTTCGGCTGAGGTCGAGTGTAAGTATCTCTCGGCGCTTATTACGTAATTTCTCCATTTGCGTGCCGAGCCCAGGTAGCAGCGGCAGTTTGAGGATGCGTCACCTGCTGATAACGATACCCGGAACGATACCTCAAACGTCCATGTCCCAGCACTGACTGGCCCACATAGTTTCTCCCATTCTTCTAAGAACGAATTTTCTGGTAAGCTGGAAGTGCTAAAATCACATGGACATATTGCTTGCACTCTGAACTGCAAAGAAGCCATAGTGGAAATCGATTTCCTGTTGTCAAAAATTTCCTTTCCTCTGATATGACACGAGGAGTGCGAGTCTCAGACTATCGGATTGAGACTCTGTACAGGGAAGAACCAAAAAGTTGCGCAGAAGCTACTTTGAAGGAAGCAAGCCTTGGGAAACAGTTCGCAACTTTGAATCTATAAGTATGGGACCAGCCTTGACGAGTTACGCGTTCCTTGTTCCGTTCTGTTGTTGTCCAACCAATTTTTTTTGAAGCCTGTCACAAGAAAGACCCCTCTGGAATGGATGGTTGGAGGTACCAAGACCTCACAAACCTTCCCTCTTCTGGATGGGTTTTCTTCTGTTTTGTTGCCATGGTTGCTGAAGCCTTTGGACAATGGGCCCACACCTGTCTCGTGTGTATCGTTTGCTACCATGCTTAATGAAAATTCTACCTTATTGGATGTTGACGACGTCCGTGCAACTGGGGTAACTTCCATAGTGTATTCACTTTGGAGCGCAATTCGCTTCTCACATGTCTTTTGGATTTTGTCTGCTTTTTGTTGTGGGATGGTCCACGGCTTCGAAAGAAGTTGCACGGTGAGACATTTGTAGCCCATTGTGCGGCACAGTGCAGTGTTGTAGCGTTTGGCTTGCTGCAGTCCCGTTACTGTATGTTTTGGATTCGGAGCCGGATCCAAGACAACGCCTTGCATCTTGGAACCACTTTCGCACCTATTTTTAGTGCTGTTGCATACTTGTGGGTGCCAGCTCAAGTGGGAGCCAACTCAAGTGGGATCTCAGGGTTCACTCCTGCGGCCCTGAACGCATTCAAAGCAAAGACGCAGTGACCGTTTTCACACAGCCATCAGGCAGTGCAAAAGGTTCATGCCGGTGACAGGCTATGTGGGCTATGCCGGATTGTCAAGGCATCAAAACCCATTTTGACTCACTCATTATATAGATTCGAAACTGCACCTGCATGTCAGGGCAAGTGCATGATCTCACCAATTTGCTCTACAACCACTCAAAAGTCCGTGTTGGGCTTTGGGTGCTCCGATCCTTGCTGGCCAACGTAAGTTAACATACATCAACATACGTTCGACAAAGTTTCAGATTTGCAATGCATACCAGGACCCACCGTCAGGTTTGTTCAAGAACACCCTGTCGGGTGGTCTGAAAAAATTGGTCTGTTTCTTTAGGCATTCCCTCCCTTGGCACCAATTGCCCTGCGTGCACCACTCACGAAATGGGTCGTTCGCAGGAGCCCCGCTTTGCGTCGCAGCCGTTGCGCCTGGACGCGCTGCCGCAGCTCCAGTGGACTTTGACGCTGGATGCGGGACGGCCCAAGGGGGAGCTAAGGGAACGATTTGTTCCCAGCTTAAAGCCAGGATGGGGTCTAAAGGGGTTTGAAAGCCAGGGTCACCAAACTTCTATTACGAAAGCCAGCCTTCGTAGAAGGCGCTAGCAGAGTTGTGTTTGGCGATCGAAGTGAGTAGTTAGGGGGTCTGGGGGGGGTGGCCCGGGAAAGGTACACTAGTTTGTATTGTTCTTTTGGACGGGTTGAAGGATGGTTTGTTGGTATGTTCGGTCGGGTTCCCGGACATCGACCCAGATGTGACGTGTGGAGTCTGGGGGTTCGGCGGAGCGTCTGGGAGGGTGCGTGGTTCCCGGTGAATCCCCTTCGGTGGAATAGTTACATAATTCAGTAAGGAAATGAAATTTGGATTGGACCGGTCTGACTAGGTGGCGAGGTAATTGGAGCTAAGGTGATTGACAGTGGAATGGCATGACAGGTCCAAAGTATGAGTAGTAAGATCCCCTCCCTGCAAACATGTCGGCCGGGCCATGTCTTTGAGCAAATTTGTCCCGTCGCTTTTGACATACCCGCGAAATGCAAGGTTGATCAAGGTTGTAAAGGAGACATGAGAACACACAGAGTTTCAATATCCACTATATACCAGATGCAGTAGAGGCATCCATACCATCTATAGTAGGGTCAAAAGTCCTGGGAGTGCACGTCTAATCAACGGTGGTTCTTCGCCCGGAGCTGAACGATTTTTTTGATACGACCATGTGACACAGTGCATGGCACAGCATGGCACAGGAAGGTTTGCAACCCTGACCACGACATACCTGGGACAATAGTATACCGATTTTTTGAAGGGTCATATCCCATTGATCCATGTAGCCCAATGCCCCTATCTACATAGACCATCAAAAGAGATCGAAACTGACCCGGTGTTGTAGTGAACATCTGTGAAACAGCTGGAGTTCTTCGGTCAAAGGTGAGTGAACAGAATGCATTTGGGTATCAATACACGTCCTTTGAGTAGCACGGAAAAGGAACACGTCGAGTCCGGCACTCTCGGGTTGTGAATGGACACCCCATCACCTTTAAGGCTTTAAGGATCAGGTCTGTCCCGTCACCTGCAACAGTCGGCAAACAAGGACATCACTATTTTAGAGAGAAAGGCCTGCAACCTAACAATCATCATCCACTGTTACTGCTAATAGGCTAATAGGATGATATACCGGGCTATTCATAGACACCCCAAACAGGGCCAAACAGGGGGCCCTGCGTCTCCTAACTTAGGACGGCCCTGGGTGGTGAAGGACGACTTTTTGGACTCGGAGGGGCTTGCGATCGCCTTTGATCGCCAAAACAAAACGAAGAACTCCGAAGAACCTTATCCTTTTTTTCAGGTCGGGGTCGAACGGAATGCCAACTATATTATACCTGGAGTCGACCCATTCGTACCTCGGAACGTGGATTCAAGAGGGATCCATATATGATACATACCTTCTTTGTAATAGGGTACTTCACATCGGGTCCAGCTCTACTTTCTTAAGCCTGCCAACCCCCTCCGCTTCTTTTTGCGAGGTGAAGGAAGGTCCCAGCGTCGAGTTCGGCGTGAGCGCCCATGCCGAAACGGAGCTGCAGGAAGGTGGACACGAAATCGCGGAGGGACGCGCGCCCGACCCCCTCCACGTCGAGGGGCAACTGAACTGAGACGCTCAATGTACTGTGTGTATTCCCTACGGCTCCGGGCCCATCTCCTCAGGAGGTGGGAACAACGAACCCCCAATTCCACCCACCCTGGCCCACCGAAGATGGGGAGATGGGCCAGGAGCCCTAGGGATGAAAACCTAAGGAACCAAGCACCTACAAGTCGGTGAAGGCTTGGTTCGGGTCCATTTCCACCTACAGAAAAAAACTTATCCAGGGTCATTTGACCCTCCAGATTCGGAGGGTGGGTCCAATGATGCTTATAGGGTTTACCTCCATCGAAGTGGTCAATGTATCAGGGCCCGAACCGATCTGGCGGAGTCTATATTCATAGCCCCGACAGTGGCTCCTGGTACACGTAGCTCCCTGCAACCGAGCTCGGTGGCTTCGTCTTGGTCGGTCGTACAACATTCCTGAATCTATGTTTGTGAACCCTACAAAGGTTAAGTGACCTGAACTAGGACCCTACAGGGGTACCTATATGATAGTCTATAGGGTTCTTCAACCTCTGCTGGACCACACAAACATCCGCAACCAAAATCAACATACGCTGGCAAAAAAAATGACACGTTCGAGTAAAGATGCCCGTGGCTCACCAATCAACGCCCGTAGCTTGTCTATATATATAGGCCTGTGGAATATGATACAGAAACGGAAAACTGGAGAACAGATGGTGTTCACTTCACCATGATCAAACAAGTAACACACTTTTTGGAGGTTCCAGATATAACTACTCCATGGAGTGTTTAGGTCCTGGACCCTGTAGTGAAAAAGGGCCGGGGCCAGACCCAAGTCCTGAGGTCAGGGGTCGGGGGTATCTCACCAATCCCGGTTTTGGTAGGGACTGGGAAGGGGGCTATTCAAATGCACGAAGCGTTTGGGTTGGACCGAGAACGTTCTTTTTTGCCCTGGTTTTGCTGAAGCATAGGTAAATGTCCTGTGGTTTTTTTGTCCAGGTTCCTGGACTGCAATATACCAGTCAGTGGATCCTGTATACGAGGAGTTGTAGGCCAACACAGGCTGGTGGGTGCAAGTCACTGGGTGTGAGTCCGTTACGTTGGAGGGTCGCGAGCGGTGGCCAGATTTGGAGTTCCTGGCGGCCTTGATGCTCCGGGTCCGAGTTCCAAAAGGTACAAGTTCCAGCGGTGGAGGTGTTTCTTGGGTGCAATGAGTTGGTTGGGGAGGGTGGGTATACCAAAGGATGGGCCAGAATGGGTATAACCATGGAGAAAGATTCAGATGTAGTTGGCTGGGTCATTCATTACATAGAGAAGTTGGAGGGGCATTGTGGGAGGTTTGGACATTCCGAAGTGTGATTTGTTTGAAGCTGATGCTTTGTTGATACCCAGTTCCACCAGAGTACATGGGATTTCTCCATGTCTTGATTGTTGATCAAGAACAAAAAGCACAGCAGGAAAGATAAACACCTGTAAGGTTGACAAGAACTTGATGCCAGCACAACCCAGCAACTGGGTGTTAGACACCCCTGTTTCAGAGGTATTTTCCATCCAATAACCACCCGAAAGGACCTACCGGGTCGTACTGTTGTTTTAGGCCTCACGATGTTGATGGGAAGTTTTTGTTCTCTTTAGACTCGGTCATTTTGGCCAAGAAGAAACGACCACGGGTTCCAATTTTGGGTAGTTCGCTGTGTGGGGTAAGGGCACACGGTTCTGGGCTGGAGAGCTATACTGGCCTTACTGGCCTGACCCACTGGGTAACAAAATTCCATGCCTGGAGTGTGTGGGATGTATAGAATGAGTCTTAAGGCGTTCAGCTTCCCTGTTTCTTTCGCAGATGGTGGTGACTCAAACGTGGATGCCCTTCACCTCAGTCTTCACCTTCGTCTATATATATATATACCTGCGTCCCAGCTAGAGACTGATTAGCACGCAGGAGCTCAAAGAGAGCTAATTGGTACCCATGCACGGGTTTCAACATGCCCGATCGGTAATTAACGTGTTCGAACGGTTTTTAACGTGTTTGCTGTTTTCCTTCAAAATCTGTGTTTTGAGGCCTGAAAATGGTGCATTCTGAGACTACTCTAGAATACCCAGAGAATCCAGAAGATCAAGAGAACACCTGGAAGTAGATCCCTGGTTCCAGCCTCCCTGTTCCCCCACACTGCCTCATTCCAACCCTGGCGCAACCTCATTTTCATCATCGCGCCCAAACAATGTTGATTTGGGCTAAGTACCGAGCCAATGCTCTTTTCCCAATTAGTTTGGGAGAGACTTTCCGTGTCAGCTTTGCAACTCTTCCTATCAGGTCTTCGTCAACGCTGCATGTTTCAGAGATAGGGTTCCACACCCATCTACTGATTTCACACTGACGTACCATCTCAAACTGTACTTCGTGCATCGCATGAATCTTGGGGATCAAAGCAAACTTTTGGTCGTGTAAGTCGTAGGACTTCCTCGCCAAGGACACATAGGTCTTGATGAACTGGATCAGTGACTCTGCCAGCTCTCGTGCAATTTTGTTCTCAAGCCATAGGTCAGAGGCATACAGCGACCTGAAGAAAAAATCGATCTTCTTGTTGCCATATTCCTCAAGTGGGATGGTGCGTGGGTACCAATTGGATCCAATTAGCTTGCTTTGAACTCCTGCATGCTAATTACCTCTAGCTGGGAAGCAGGTATGTTGTACACAGAGGACCCCAAAACAAGAACGTATATAAGCAAAACGTATGTTGCAAACTAATCGTGTCAAAATTCCCAGAGGCGCAACCTTTCGTCATCCCCAATCAATTCCGGGTGGTGCGAGAGGTAATCCTCCAGAAACAAACATAGGTTGCTGGTCAACGCTGCTTTGCTCCAAGTTCCTTGTGGCTCTTCCAAAGTGGACCCAAAGAGATGCTGATCCAACTTCGAAACAATACATGTCATCTTTTCGCGACGGCAAAACTGTTTGTAGGCTGCACTGATGGTTGAAAATCTCTCGCCAACCTCACGCCCAGGAATCTTGCTTTGAAGAATCATCATCGCTGAACCAATCCAGTGCTTTCCAGCACCCAAATGAAAACTGTGCCATAAATCGTACTTGTGAAACCGAGACTTGCCGTTAATTGCACCGTCATGAAGCAGCTTTCGGGTCAAGACACTTTCTCGGAACCAAGGTTCCTCAATCCCCATTGTTCTTGCGTCCCTCATGGCTCGTTCGGCTTGAGTCCTTAGACTTCTATATATAGGCAAAACTTTACAGAACAAAGCCACCCGGAAAATGTGAAAACCAGTTTCAATTAATATAAGTTGTGTGCATGCGCGAACAAACGCATACGTTAGGCGTTGGGTAACACTCTTCGAACCATTTCCAGAAGGGGACAGTATACAGGTCAGGCAGGGGGAAAAAATAAAGGAATTCAATTCTTTCAAAGCCACAGGTTTTCCCAATCCAGGCTTTGTCCACACAGACAAAGGTGACACACCCCAGCACCCTCAACATTCCGGTCATTGCCGCGATCACAATCTTTGGCTGATTTGGGTGCCCTTCTGTAGGAACGTTCAAGGTTGGCGGAAGATACCTCAGTTTTGTTGCTAGATCGAGTGGGTGGATTGTCAGGTGAATAGGATGAAAACACTGAAAGAAAAACTGCAACGTATAGCGATATGAAAATAAACAAGTTCAAGCCAAGTTACAAGGTAGCTCCAATCCCCCTTGTTCCCTATGACTATCGGGTACACCAAGCCCTGGCCATCCAGTTCAATCCCATTGGTTTCCATGAGTTGAAAATCTGTTGCCACCTTGTCAAAGATTGCGTTCCACACACGTGGGTCTTCTTTGTACATCTCCTTCAGGGACGTTTCATCAACAAATTCCTGGGAAAAAGTTGATATACTCGAAGCACTACAGTTATATACGATATAGCAGACCTACCGAGTCTGAAGTCAAACCCTTGTTTCCCACAACCTGTCCTTGGGGCAAATCACCATGACCATACGTGTCAGCATACCACACTTCACAAAATTGAGTGGAAGCCCTGATTCCCCAACCTTTTCCAAATTCAATGACATCTCCATGGGTCGCTTGGAAGTGCCAAACCCCAATGGGGACTGCATAGACATAATGAGGACACCACCTTTCTTGAAGGTGATTCCTTCATCGCCGTGCAAATAAAGTGGTATACATTGCCGGTAGCAACAAATGCCAGCATCGACACGCTCGAAAAGTTGAAACTGTGGGTATACCACCCTGTAGCGTTCCCAAAAAGTTTCCAATAGAGGGGCTGCCTTGGCAATGGTTGAGAAGCCACCCATGATGTTGCCCAAATCGTTGTTCTTGGCCATAGTCTTTAGGAAATCACTTGGTTTCAGCCACCAAAAGTCTTTCAAAGGTTGTTGATCTTCCACAGTCATAGGAACATCATAAAAAAAGTCGTTCGCCTTAAAGACCCGTTGCACTTCTGCCTCCTAAGCGGCTTGTAGGCGGCACCAAAACATCCACGTGCGCAGCACTTGCAACTACTCTCTAGCAGGGACCCAGGCTAAATGTTTTAAGATCATAGAACGGTTTCAACAGTTTTGACCCCTGAAAATAGATAATGTTTTTCAGGCAAAGCCTGGTATCGGAGTTCTTGCTGTTCGCCTTTCCAAGCGCAGTCAACACTGGGCAGCAAGAGAGGGATATACCATCCTCCATATCATCCCTGCAGGCAGCTTCAGCAAACTTGATGATCTCAGTCGAAGGCTCCTAGGCCATGTGGCGAGTGCCAACACTATGACCAAACAAATAGCAGCATTGCCTCGCCACACCACCAGAATCCTATTTCATGAAGTCTACTGCAGATTGCACACAGGTCATGGGCCTACAGTTACATGCAATGGCTGCAATGAAGTCACACCCCAAACCATGTAGCATGCAAATCTCCAGTCATCCAGGCTTTTCATCTAAAGAATATATTATAATAGTAATATAAGCGCTCTCTCTCTCTCTTATATATATGATTATATATATGATTCTATCTACGCGTTGAAGGACCACAGATTTCAATTAGGAACCTCACCACTCCATTGCGCTCAGAGTCCCCGCAACCATAGCGCCATGCGAGCTGACGCGCTTTATGCGAGGGACCTGGCATGTCACAGAGTCATGGCAAGTGCAGGTTGTGAAGGGGCATCGAAAAGCTGGGGATGCAGATTGGAAACGCCACGCAGCCGTTCTTTGCCCACGAAGTTGCGATGCAACATGTCTCGATCGATCCAATTGGTCCAATTATCAATTGTCCCTCTACACCGGTGCAATGAGAACTACACTCGCTGCAGAATGAAAGACAGCTGTACATCCCCTTGTGAGGCACGTGGTTTTCCACGTGTTCAGAAAACCCAAAGCCAAGACCCACCAGGTAAGACATGAGAGTGACAACCAATTTAACAACTTGCAGCAAATCATGATTTGGTGGAGGATAGGGATGAACACCTTGCAAGTATACTACCATATAATGAACGTAAGATTTAGCATTTAGTAGACACGCTAAGTGGGTGCTCAGTCTATGTGGGCACTCAGGCACCTTTGTTCTTGCCACGTACCCTTTTGGCAGGCACGGTGCCCGCAGATTCAGGATCCTCTACCTTACCCTTACCCTTTGCAGTCCTTTTGCCAGACTTGTTCTTGGCAGACTTTTTGTCCTTCTTCGACTTTGTCGAAGCCCGTGTTCCCTTTCTCGTATCCTTCTCCGACCCAGCTCCCTTTCCATTCTTTTTCTGGTTGGTCTTGTTGGACTTGATCAATTGCCTAATGTTGCAGAATCAATCCAAACACCTGTGGAATTGAACAAGGATTGGGAAGCAATCATAGATCCCAAGTTTTAGACACACATCTTGGGCCACTGGCCGCTGCTGAGTTTCCAGGGTCAGGGATGTAGCACACCTAAAATGACGCGTTCCATCACATGAAAAGCATCTTCACCGCCGAGGGTTGGGGATTCGGTGCTTTGTGAGATGGATGGCCAAGGATCAAATCCCTGATCTTGTTCTTTTCCTCCACGATCAACTGCTTCAGCCTCAGCGTTGCAAAAGGAACCATGCACCTGCCACTATACATATATATATGTACAAAATATCATACAAAGGTCAGCATTTTTAGATCTATCATCAGAATGATTGCACATGTTTCCATTGATCAAATTTGATCCAAACATGCACACTTTTCAATCAC